AGTGGTCTGTGCGCCAACTGATTTTAGATGTTCGATTGAAGGCACCCTCTACGAAACCGACAGAGCAACGGCTCTTTCTTAGGTATATAGATCTATTACTTGCAAAGTAATAGATCTATATATCTAGTTGCTATCTATACCCGAACGCCCTAAACCAGCCCGATATACCGACCCCCTATACCTGTAAAGGCACTAGTACACTGCAATAGTTAGGATGCCTCTAATAAGTGAGATTGTGTGTACAGATCTATATACAAGTACGAGGGGAACTTTATTATTCCTCGCACGGGCCAACTGCCAGCGTGGCACGTGATTGTATGGCACGTGATCGCGTGAGGGATCGTAGGTTTGATCCATCACACTACCCCCCCTTCAAAAAAAAGCAGGTTCCGTCGCTTAAAGTAATTAAAAAGAGTTGTCTAGCTTGCTTTGCAAAAGCTTCTGTAAGCCTAAACAGCAATGTTGCCGGTATTGCGAAAGCTACGCGGGCCAATAGTCTCCTCCGTCTGCTGTATCGTCGGGGCTCCTGGTGGAGGCTTAGGATTGTTAGAGGATGCGATCACTGTAATCATAAGTAAATCCTGTTTGCCTGCGAGCGTCGCAAACTTTCGATGTGGTCCTGGAGCTTTAGGGCGGGACTCATGGTACTGTTGGACAATGTCTGCGGAGTCCACCAGGTTCATGTATGGTTCCCAAGATGGGTTGTCGGTGCCGGCGGGGTAGTTGGTCCATCGCACTAAGTATTGGAGAAGACCGCTGCGAGAGTAGGGGTCTTTAAGTCTCTTGTTGACGCGGGAGTCTAGGACGGCTTCCACTTCATAGCTTGTACCATCTTCCTCGTCGGGATCGGCGAACTCAGCTGGTGCGGAATCGCGCAGTTGACCAGGCAGCGGAGCCTCCTCGTGTAAGTGTAGTAACCACGGGTGGAAGACGTTGTGGAGCTTGCCCATCTCTGGAGGCAGGAGTAGTTCGTAAGCCATATTGTCAATGACGCGTGTGACAGTGAAGGGACCGCGGTTCTTGAAGTCAAGTGATAGACTAGGACGTGTAGTACGGAAGTTACGGGCGTCCAACATAACTTGATCGCCGACCTTAAACTCAGGCGCTGGGAGCCGGGCGTCGTTTGCGTATTCCGCCTGTTTAGCACAGTCCGCAACAATCAATTAAGTGGGTCCTAGAAGGTTCAGATTGGATTGATTGATTACCGCTTTAAGCCTAGTAGTTACCTATAGGAGTTTAAGCCCTACCTAGATAGGTAAGTGGGTCTAGGAGAGTGACCGGATTGAATTGATTGTTGCGGAGTCTACTGTTTAGCTTGTGACCATTGTAGTTCGAGCCGAAGGGCTTTGCGTAGCGCGTCTAGCTTTTCTGCAAACTTGTTGGCGTTGTCTTGATCTCTGCGAGCTGGGGCAGTGAGACCAGTGTTCACCTTAGGTGGTTCAAGACCAGACTTCGGGTCATAGCCCTTAGTGAGGCGGAAAGCGGTAGTCCCAGTACTAGCGTTGATGGCGTTGTTAGCTTCGAACTCTGCCATAGGAAGAAAGAGAGCCCAGTTGTCTTGCTCGTAGTTAATATATGACCGGAGGTATTGTTTTAGCCAAGCGTTGGCGTTCTCCGTCTGCCCATCGGTTTCTGGGTGATAGCCCGTTGACAACTTTGGCTTGGTACCCAGTCGTTGACAAAGACGTGTCCAGAAATGGGAGAGGAACTGGGCTCCACGGTCGCTGACGATGCTGTCGGGATATCCCTCCTCACGCCACACGTACTCGACGAAGGCTTTCACAAGGGTATCAACCTTTAGGTCCACCACAGGTATAAACTTCTTCTTCTTGCTAAGCCGATCAACAATCACTAAGACGTTGGTATATGTGCGGCCGTTATCGGTGCAAGGAGGCAGGTGCGTGATATAGTCCATGCTGATGCTACTCCAATATCGCTCAGGTATCGGGAGTGGATGTAGGAGCCCGTGTTTCCCATCGCGGTAAGATTTCGATCTCCGACAGGCCAAACAGTTCTTGACGTACTGTGCTACATCATTTATCATCTTCGGCCAGTAGTACCAGCGGTTTAACATGTCGTAGCTACCGTGTTTGCCGCTATGGCCACCGCAATAGGATCGGTGTACGCGTTCGATGATCCGGGTGCGCAGGGTGCCTGATTCGGGGATGTAGACCTTCTTCTTGACATAGAAGACTCCGTCGTGTATTGAGCAATCACCAAGCTCTAAGCGTATCCTGTTTGGACCGTGAATTAGGTGGTACGGGATGCGGCGCTGGCCATCAGCTTTGGCTTTGAGGATAACTTGAACGATGTCGTCATCCGGGTAAGCTTGTCGAACGGTCTGGAGGATATTGGCTTCGTCCAGCGACGTGTCCGGCTCCGTAAGCGGTGCAGCGGACGTGTCATCGACCTCCGCTGTGTCTCCGAGAGCGAAGAGGTATTCGTCGCTAAAGTCGTCCGTTTCACTGTCTTGGTACATCATCATGGCCAAGGAGACTGGGGACGTCCGGAGCTCGTCACCGAGGGCGTTGGCCAGATATACAGCGTGTCGGGAGCCACCGTCGAAGTGGAAGCTAAAGGTGGCAACTCGACACTCAGGATCCACCTGGTCAGGCTTGAGGATCACTTGTACCTGGTGTTGACGTCGCTCATCCTCGGCGTTAGCTGGAAGATCGCCCGGTCGGCGAGTGAGTGCGTCGGGCTTAGTTCCTTGTTTACCAGGACGGTATTTGACTCTAAAATTGAACTCAGCTAGGAACTCAGCCCATCGAGCTTGCCGTCGGTTGAGGCGTTTGGTTGTCATGAACGTCTGGAGGGCCTGGTGGTCTGACAATACCAAGATGGGATCATCAGTACCTGACAGTTCAAACCTCCACTCCTCGAATGCTCGAACAATCGCGAGGAGCTCCTTGTCATAGATCTCGTAGTTGCACTCGGCAGGTGTCATCTTATGTGATAAGAACGCTACAGGTCGTAGAACACCTTTGTGCATCTGCGAGAGGATAGCTGCGGTAACGAAGTCCGACGCGTCAGTCTCGAGCCACGTTTCCAAATCTGGGTCAAAGTGGGACAGTACGCCCGCTGTTTTAAACGCAAGCTTTAGCTGTTCAAAGGCTTTCGCAGCTTGTCCATTAGCTTGGAGAGGGAAATGTCGTTGACTACCCTCCTTGGTGAGTTCCGTGAGTGGCTTAGCGATATATGAGAACCCTTTAATAAACCGGCGATAGAAGTTGCAGAAGCCGAGGAAAGACTGCATGTCCTTCACTGATCTCGGCAGTTGCCAATCGAGGACAGTGGAGACCTTCTCCGGATCCATTTCGATGCCGTCGGTGGTGAGGATCAAGCCTAAGTACTTGACTCGCTTGGTTTCGAACTTGCACTTCGTGGGATCCAACGATAGTCCTGCGCCTTGAATCTTGCGGAGAACCTTTAGGACATGCGAACGGTGGTCTTTCTCGTTGTCGCTATATATAAGTATGTCGTCTAGGTAGGCGGTACATATAACGTCCAAGTATTCGCGCAGCGTTTCGTTGATGAAGTTTTGGAACGTCCCTGGTGCATTGCACAGTCCAAAGGGCATGACCATATACTCATAGAGTCCGTACCGGGTGAGGAAGGCGGTTTTCTCTTCGTCACCTTCTTTAATCCGAACGGTGTTGAAAGCGGCTACAACATCGACGAGAGACATAATCTGAACTTTGGCCATGCGCGCTAGAGTTTCTTTGATGGCTGGTGGCGCATTTCGATTCTTCTTAGTGACGTTGTTGAGTGCTCGGTAGTCGACACATATGCGGAGACCTCCTCCAGGTTTCTTGACGATCAAGACAGGTGACGCAAACGGGGAGTTACTGGCCTTGATTAAGCCCTTTTGCAGCATGTCATCGATATACTTCTTAACAGCCTCAGTCTCGGTACGAGTGAGTCCGTAGACATGGGGCTTAGGGGGCGTAGTGTCAGGAAGCAGGTCGATGGGGTGGTCGACTCCTGGTCTTCGTTCGGGGAGTTGATGAGCCAGATGAGGGTTGAACAGATCAGGTAGTTCGTCCAACACCCACTCAGGTACCAGCTGGCCAATCTGGTCTCTAGTCATGTAAGGTTGCTCCATCTTGTGCATGTACTTCTCAAAGTCAGTTTGCGAGACTGCGGCTACGCCGATGCCTTCTCGGTCTTCATCGGGGGGCTTCGCAAGCTTGGCCCAATGGCGGGGTTCCAACCATATGACCTGGTCAGGATGTTTGGCTGCGAGTGCGGTTGCAGCGGCAGCGGAGATGAGGTAGATATCAGCCATAGTCTCCTCAGTCGTCACCTTACCATCCTTGTTCGTCTTAGTAGTGGTGTCGCCTGTCTGGTAGTCTCCCTTGACTAGTTGTACGTGACTGTGACAAACTCCGTTTTCGTAAACCGTCTCTGGGAGTCCTTCGTGGAGGCAGTTAAGTTTGCACCCTGCCTTAGCGAAGGTGAGTGATCGCTGGTCGCCAAAGTGGAGGGCAGGCTGGTGATAGTCCATCCAATTCATGCCTAGGATAACGTCGTACTTGCCGATATTGGTGACGTAGCATAGGACGTTGTGCGTATGGCTTCCGTGTCGGACGGGCAGATCAACGGCCTGGGTAAGCTTGTCCACTTCTCCGCCGTTGGCTAGTGACAATCGAATGGGTTTGGCCACAGGCATAGTATCTAGGCGGTGTTGGTTAACCCATGACTGATTGACGAAGCATGCGCTGGCTCCCGTGTCGATAAGGGTAGAAATCGGTTGCCAACATCAGGTCGCGTGAGAGCGGAGCCGGGAAACTCGAGTTTTCGGCTGAAGTCTTTAGAAGGCTTGCCTCCGATGGAGGCGGAGGACACGAAGTGGACCTCCGTCATAGTTGGCGTTTCGTCAGGGGCGAGCAGCAAGGCTGCAGCGATCTCGAAACGGCGATGCTGGTTTCGAACACGGCGCTGGTGTCTTTTTGCGTTACGCCAATTGAGCTCCCGCACGCGGCTCTGCGCGGGAGCCCCTAATTTAAATGCTCAAGTAGTTCCTCGTCGTTGACGTAGAAGCCATCGTCATCCACTAAGTCGTTGTCGTCCAGCGGCTCCTCAGTATCCTCGTCTCGCTCCTCTTCGTTGGAAGCGTCGAGAGCATTGATGTACAAAGAAGCCAGTGCGGGGATTTGGTGAGAAGGAGTGAAGGGCTTGCCGCGGCAGGGGGCAGTCTCGTGCCTCATCTGATGGTCATCCTTGCCACATTTGAAGCAGAGCTTCAAGTCAGCTAGACGCTTCTTGTCTTTCTCTGACCGCTCGAAGGCCATCTTCTTGTACGTATGCGTGCTGGCGGCGTTGTTGTGACCTGGAGTGTCGGGTGTCCGGAAGGTGACCAACTTTTGGGTACGGCTAGCACCAGCGGTCTTCGTAACGGGAGTTAATTTTCGGCCAGCGTCAATCTGTTGATGTCCCTGGTCGATGTGTTGCGCTCGCAGCAAGAAGGACTGGATGGTCTCATCCTTGTGAGATCCGGCAGTGGTCGCGATAGCTAACCCGGGTCGCATGAACTCGCGAGCGTATCGGATCTGGGTCGCGTTCTTGTGTTTGAGGATTCGCATGCAAGAGGTGAACTTAGACTTCCACTCCATGAACTTCTGTCCAGACTTGTAGCGGAGCGAGCCGTCGGCGATGAGGGTTTCGGCGTCAGCTTCCCGATCATAGGTGAGATACTGGCTGTCGAGAGTCTCTAGGAAATCTAGGAAATGGCGAGCTTTGACATCTCGGATGTGCTCGTAAGCTTCGCCTTGAATGCGGAACTTGAGGTAGTCAACCGCTTGCCAGTCCTCTGGGTATGTGCGACACTTGGCCACTGCCATCTCGCGCCACCGCTCGTAGTCGTCGTCGACCTTGCCCTTGAACGTCTCAAGTTCTGGGAGTTTGTAAGAGAATCCTCCACCGGCGGTAGAGGGCGCGACGGGCGGCGGTCGCGGTACTGTAGGAGCGGGGGCGTATGGGTTCGATGATGGAGGAGGTAGCGAGGCGTCGCGCACGGGAGTACGGTTATCCCATGGGGTGTACCCAGCTCGGCGAGGATCTTGTGAGAGTTGGTCAGCGGTACCATCTACAGGTCGCTGTAGCAAAACGCTTGATTGTACAGGCCGTACTGGGTCGTAAGATCGCTCGCGCCGCCAGAGGGTGTACGGCTGATAGTTGGGTTCATGTTGCAGCAGTCGGTCGGTGACCGTTTTTGTCTCACGTCTAGCCTCGGTGAGCTGGAGGTTGAGCTCATCGTAAGCCTTATCCTTAAGGGCGAGAGCTTCGTTCTTGTTCGCCTCCATGTTAGAGTACTTGACATCATACTGGTTAAGCTCGATAGAATAGCGATCAGCTTGTCCTTTGAACTTGTCGCAGAGCTCAGCGTTGGCCTTAGCTTGGTCTGCCCACCAGTCGGCGCTGTCAGACTCCTCCTTGAGCTTCTGTGCCAACTCTGCGTAGTTAGGACCGCTCTCCGGTTCATCGGCTCGGCGGGATAGGTCCTCAACCTTCTGCTTGAGTTCATTGCGTTCGGTGGCGGCAAGGTCGCGCTCAGCGGCGAGGGCTTTGAAGGCGGGGTCATCGCGAACGTTGGGGAGTTGTTCTGACGCAGCTTTGAGCTTTCCGATGTCCGAGGTGAGGCGTCGGATCTCTGTCAGCTTCTCCTTGTACAGGTTGCTGCTAACCATGCCAACTTGTAGTTGTTTACTGTTCGAAGTTTCATCAAGGGCTGCTTCAACATTCGCTAGTCGGTCTCGTAGAGCTTGAGTCTCTCCTTCATTGCGGTCCACAGTCTGCAGATGCCTATTGATGGCGTCAGTGCAGTTGCGTAGGGAGACTAGCGTAGAGACAATAAATCGCCACCAGAAGTCGGGACGATCCTTCACGTTCTTCTGGAGGTTACTAGAGTTAGTGACAGTGAAGTCGTTGATGTTGTGGGTGATGTTGCCATCAGTGCGGATTCGGCCTGTGCTAAGGGAGTAAAAGGCATTGCTGTGCTCGTCAGGTTCGGGATCCTCTTGTAATTCGAACCACTCGGTGTCAACGGTATAACGGAGGTAAACGTAGTTAGAATCTTTGAGGTATTCGAGCAGGACGTCGTTGATTTCGATGCCGACAATCTCGCGTGTAGCAGTCATGGGCTCTAGGTCGCCGCTAGCTGATACTGATGGCTGGGATGACGGATGGGCTGCCAGAAGCATGCTCTCTCGGCGGTTGGAGAGGCAAGCTCGTACTGGTACGAGAGGCGGGCCCATCTGTGATTGAGTAGGATCCTGGGAAGCTTGCCCGAAGGTGGCACCGGTGGCTGAGGTACCTTGGGTATTCTGGGTATTGGCCGGGTTTGCCATCGCGATGATCTTTTCGTGTGTGTTGCGCAGGGCTGACCGTAGGGTCGCGCTTCTCGAAGCTCGATGCCTTGCCTTCTGCCTACTTGTCCGTTGATGTAGGTGGACCTGTCCTTTACCAGCGTTGGTGACAACCCCCACGAGCAATACTTGCCTGTTGAGCCTGGTGTCTCTGGTCTTTTCGTGTGTTGCGCAGGGCTTACCGTAGGGTCGCGCTTCTCGAAGCTCGATGCCTTGCCCTCTGCCTACTTGTCCGTTGATGTAGGTGGACCTGTCCTCTACCAGCGTTGGTGACAACCCTCACGAGCAATACTTGCTTGTTGAGCCTGGTGTCTCCACCCGTGGGCTTCTAGCGCAATACTTTGCGATCCTCGTCGTCAAGACCTAACCCGTCGCAGAACGTCTTGTTCTGCCCGATGTAGCAAGTCGCAGTTGCTCAATCGGCGGCGGCGCTCGGCGCGGACGGTGTTTCTGATAACTGAGCCTGATGCGAAGTATCCTAGGTATGTAGGGGTTGACACACAATAGTGTAAAGGCACTAGTACACTGCAATAGTTAGGATGCCTCTAATAAGTGAGATTGTGTGTACAGATCTATATACAAGTACGAGGGGAACTTTATTATTCCTCGCACGGGCCAACTGCCAGCGTGGCACGTGATTGTATGGCACGTGATCGCGTGAGGGATCGTAGGTTTGATCCATCACAATACCGAACCGCTCTACGAGCAAAACATCGACCAGGCACTAGCTATATAGATCTATTATTCTGTGGTAATAGATCCCTATATATAGAGGACTACAACAACCACTCTACCTACCGAACGCCCTAAACCGACTCGATATACCGAACTGCTCTACGAGCAAAACACCGACCAGGCACTAGCTATATAGATCTATTATTTTGTGGTAATAGATCCCTATATATAGACGCCTACACTCAACACTTTATTTCCTTACAAAAGAGCTCGCTGCTACATCTCTTTCTATTCTATCACACTGCTCTTTAGCACATGCGCCAATAGAAGACTAGCTCTGAAATTGGAGTACGCAAACTGTCACCTAAATTGTACAAAACCTAAAGAAACTCCACATCGACCAACTTATATAGAACGGCTTAGCCAAAGTCCTACATAGTCACCGACTGATACAGGACTCTAATGGATATATAATAATAATAACCTGTTTTATCAGTGAGCGCCCCACCTCAGTGAGCGCCCCACGAACACCAGCGAAGCGCATGCGCGACACTCAACACGTAATGTCTCAACAACCACAACCTCACAAGCCCTATACTGAAGCTGGCGTGCAGCTTGCCCTCTCTGACATTAAATGCGACCAGATTACGAGCCTGCGACGTGCTGAGGCAGTCTACAGCGTTCCTCGTAGGACGATACAACGACGACGCGACGGGAAGCCCTCTAGACGCGACTGCGAGCCCAGATCAAAGCGCCTGACGAAGCTAGAAGAGGAAGTGATTCTGCAGCGTATACTTGACGAGAACCTACGTGGAGTACCGCCCTCAAAGCTACACGTACAAGATATGGCTGATAGACTGCTGCGCGACCGCGGCGGTGAGCCTGTTGGTAAATGCTGGGTTGACAGGTTTATTAAGCGTACACCTGAGCTGCGCACGCGCTGGACTCGTCCATACGATCACCAGCGAGCTCTCTGTGAAGACCCAGCGATCATCGAGCCCTGGTTCACGCTGGTTCAGAACATGAAGGCGAAGTACGGTATTGTGGACGACGACATGTACAACTTTGACGAGTCTGGCTTCCTGATGGGCAAGATATCTTCACAACTTGTTGTGACAGGCATAGAGAAACCTGGGAAAGCGAAGAAGCTTCAGCCTGGTGATCGCGAGTGGACTACGTAAATACAGGGCGTCAGCGCAACAGGGCGTGTTATCCCACCCTTCCTCATCTTTGCCGGCAAGGTTCTTATCTCTAACTGGTTTACTGAGGACCTCCCACGCAACTGGGTTATTCAAGTAAGCCCAACAGGCTGGACGAACAACAATCTAGCGCTCGCCTGGCTTGATCACTTTGATACGCATGCGAGGCCTGTAGGAGCGTATAGGCTGCTGATTATCGACGGCCACGAGAGCCATTGCTCGATAGATTTCCAGGATCGCTGCAAGGAGAAGAAGATTATTGCCCTCTGTATGCCTCCACACTCGTCGCACCTCCTGCAGCCGCTTGACGTCGCCTGTTTCTCGCCATTGAAGCGCGCGTACGGTGATCAGATCTCAGCCTTGGCACGCGATCGCATCAACCACATCAGCAAACAGACCTTCTTACCAGCCTTTGAAGTAGCTTTTGAGAAGGCGTTTACAAGAGAGAATGCTTGCGCAGGGTTTCGAGGCGCTGGATTGTCTCCACATGATCCACAGGCTGTGTTATCGAAGCTGGATGTGCAGCTGCGTACGCAAACTCCACCACAGCAAGTCGACGCCGCTTGGGAGGCGAAAACACCACGCAACGCCAAAGAAATGGAGGCGCAATCAACGCTGGTTCAAAACAGGGTGAAAATCCATCGAGGGTCTCCAGCAAGTTCACTTGATGAGCAGGTGCGGCAGCTGACAAAAGGCGCGCAGCAGATGGCTCATGAGATGGTGTTGATGCGCGCAGAGATAGTGCGCCTTAATACTGCTACTGAAGCAGCAACAAAGCGTAAAAGTCGCAAGAGACGCTACGTACGGGCAGAGGAGACACTAACAGTCGGCGAGGTATTAGACTTAATTGCTGAAAGGGAGGGTGGCAGACGTGAGGAGGGTGAGGAGCCGGCGAAGAGGGTGCGCGCAGGGCGACGCTGCGGCCGTTGCGGTGAGATTGGGCACAA